AGTATGAGCACACAGTGAGTGTGCAGTGACCTCACATTGTGACCACAGTATGAGCACACAGTGAGTGTGCAGTGACCTCACATTGTGACCACAGTATGAGCACACAGTGAGTGTGCAGTGACCTCACATTGTGACCACAGTATGAGCACACAGTGAGTGTGCAGTGACCTCACATTGTGACCACAGTATGAGCACACAGTGAGTGTGCAGTGACCTCACATTGGGAACATAGTATGAGCACACAGTGAGTGCGCTGTGTGGTTACACTTTTAGCTCACTGTGACACACACATTGTGACCACACAATGAGAATCGTGTGAGCTCATGGTGACATCATTGTGAGATCAAATTGTTGACTGGGGAGCAGGTGTATCAGGTATAAACTGTTTTAACGCACGCATTTACCAGAATGAATTCTGCCCCGCAGCGTAATGTCCATGAACAGTATAAACCATTTGTTTTGAAACCTGCTTAAAATGCCTTGAAATGATAAGCTTAGACTACATCATGACGCGCTTCAATTAACGATTTATATATTTCTACCGGATTATCTCCCAACCCTTAAATTAATATAGTTTGTTCAAACACAAAAACACTATAAATCCAGTTAATAATCAAACTAACCTAAAATCTGTGTGGACGATGACACTGTTTTTATCTGCTCCATGTGCCCGGTTCATTGCTGATCCAGCAACTTCCACTCCATCATCAGCTTTAGTAAAATAATCTGATAGCTGGGGAATTTACCAAGTCATGTTTTTTATGTTGTTTGTATTTGAAGTTTTTCGTTTTTTGAGCCCCTCTCTCTTTTAGAATTGCTGTTATTTTTACTTATTGAATGTTGTTCTTTGCGCGACCATTTCCAGATTACTCCAGAACAAAGTGAAGAGAGGTGAATGCAGACATACTGGGCAGCGATCACCTGATAGATACGTGCGCATATCGTTCAAAAGTCAAATATAGAATAAATGCATTTGATTGGTAAACCAAATTCAGACTTTACATTTCAATCTGGTAATGCATGGAATTTACTGGAAAGCTCAACTAAATAACAGCGCTAATAAGTGGGGGGCGTGGTGGCTTTGGCGATCGGCGCTCCAGTCAATCTACTGCACAGCCAATCACGGGCCCCCTCCTTGCTCGGGCCCCGGGTCTTCAGCCCAGCCTAGCCCAATGGTTAAAATGGCCCTGCTTGTAACTATACTCTAATTACTATTTTGAAAATTATAACGCGTTAAATTACTCTGTTTTCTAAAAAAGTAATCAAATTACAGTAACGCGTTACTAATTAATGCGTTACTGCCCAACACTGCTTACAACTGGTACCTTGCTGGTAATTTTGTATTCAAAATATTTAATATAAAAGGTCTATACAACACAAAAAGTCTATACAACAGTAAATTAAATTAATTCCAATTTAAAATCTATCCATAGATCAATTAGTGCAGCAAAGCTATTTTATTATTCTAACAGAATATTTTTTAATATACCCTAGAGAAGAAAATGGCACACATATTATCAGAGACCACCACTTTATAAATATTCTGGAGGGGAATTGACAGACCTAACATGATAAAAGCTAAATTGAAACGTTTAGTCAAAATAGATACTGTCTTGTGATTACATTTATATATTCTCCACAGTTAAAATAACCCTCCTATACAAGTACTATACAACTGCTTATTTTCATTGTAAACTATTACCAAATAGATGTACAATAAATGGTGTGAAATACTTACAGAAATTATATAAATACTAAAATTAGTGTAAGAAAAAGTGCTACTGTTTTTCCAATATCCTCACTGACAATCAAGGATAAGAATAGCACAGATACAATGCATGCAATATTGAAAACAATTTCTTTTTTTTTCTGAGAAAAAGATACGTGTATTATTTACAAAAATATGTGTTTTATATTTAATATATATATATATATATATATATATATATAATTTTGTTGTTGTTGTTGTTATATTGTAACAATCAAACAAACAAACAAACAAACAAACAAACAAACAAAAAACATTGATTAAGGATTCATTTTTTTCTACACCAAAATTTAATAAATTTCTGTCTTATTTCTTTGGTTTGTAAACCATATACTACAGGATTTAGTCCTGGTGGTACAATGTGGAACATTATACTAGCTAGTTTCCTGCTTTCAGAGTATTCAGGAAATCGATGAAGAAAAATAAAACTGGCACAAGAAACAAACATGATTATATAAACAGCTATGTGAGTGCTACAGGTTTTCATGGCTTTGCTGTTCAGTGATTTGTTTTTGCTGGTTATGCACACAGTAGCAATCTTCCCATATGTTATAAATACAGACCCAAGTGACAAGGTAAAAACAATCACAGTATAAACTATTCCAAACACATTATTAACAATCACGTTTTCACAGGACAGTTTAAACAGTGAGGCATTGTCACAGAAAGGGTTTTCGATTTTGGATCTGCAGCGAGATAGGCGTATAGTGAGTCCTAACAGAATTGACACCATTACTACTGCCAGCCCCCAGGCTGATGCTGATAGTTTAACCACCATTTTATTGGTCATTATAGCCGTGTATCTCAGTGGATTACATATAGCCACATATCTGTCAAAGGCCATGATCATCAGCACATAGTGACATGCTACTGCAAAAACATGCACAAAATAAGCTTGAACAACACACTCTACGTATGTCATATAGCGCTCTGACGTTTCTCTTAAAATGTCTTGCATTAAACGTGGCAAAATGACAGTGGTCCCCATTATATCATTTAGTGGCAAGTTACAGAACAGAAAATGCATAGGATGATGTAGATTCTTCTCTGTTGAGATCAGAATTATAAGTCCAATGTTGGAAACCATAATAAAGACATAAACCAATAGAAGCAGGATGAAAACAGGATAGGAAGATTGAGGTATAATTTTCAGTCCCTCCACGAGGAGAATGCTGTTTGCGAAAGTGAGGTTGTCCATTGGCTGCCCTGCAAAATCATTTGTATAGAGCAAGAAACAGACTTATCATTGCCATTAGTAACACATCATCTTGTACTACTGCATTCCACTATGAGGAAAGTACATACGATATGTTTCAGATATTTATGAGCGATTGATAGTATAGTTAAATGGCATTTCACCTTCAGTGGCATTATTCTGTCTATTTCCATATGTAAATCTGTATATATGGTTAAGAAATGCAGCACACCTTAATTCTGAACTGTTTTATCACTACATAGCAAAAAAAAAAAAAACACTACAAGCTGTCTTTGCTACAAAATTGGTAGTACCAAAAATACATGGTAGTTGCTTGTCTAATAAACCAACACTTACTCGACACACTGTTTTTACCAAGATAGATGTCAGTTAGTTTGCTAGATGTTCAGTGAAGAACTGTTTACTTGCCCTTAGCTTTTATTTTGTGGTTGAATGCTGTTTCTGTCATGTTGTCATCATCCCAGAGGGGAAAACTGGTTGATAGCCCTTGTTGCCATGATCACAACATAATCATTCATTATTTGATTTCCCAGCATTCTTCAAAATATTGTCTTTTGTGTTCCACAGAAAAACAAAATGCATAGAGGTTTGGAACAACATGAGGCTGAGTAAATTTTCAGATGGACTATCCCTTTAATGAGCAATGTAAATGATATGAACTTAGTATAATAGAATGATTTGTATTTGCTAGAGAAAAGCAGAGGCTTGCTTGGATAAAGTTTAAGACTGATATTTTAGTAGTACAAAAACAGTCTGTTATGCTGCTTGATGTTGGAAATGGAAAGAATGAAAAAGAATGAGATGAAGGTCAGGAAAAGAAGGCTGTGGTGGCCAAGTTGGATGAGATGGTACACCTTGTGTGGAAGATCCCTCACTTTAGCCCAAAGTCTCAAAGAGTGCTACTGGCATTGGGAGAAGAGTTTGGCTTAAAAGTGTGTATTCTATCAGGTGGAACATGATGGGTTCCACACATTCAACAATCTTTGCATTGCTGAATGCAAAGCTTACATTTTGTGTACTGTGAATTGTGTCTACTGGTGAACACCAGTAGCCGGGAAGAAGACAGTGGCCTGTATGCTGCAACTACAACAGCCATCTCTGATGATGTAGAAGAGAGGGCAGCAAAGGTAACCTACTGTTATTATATAAAATACTGTTTGACTAACTACTAATCTATTTTGCTTCATGTTTGGCATAAGACAGAAAGTGCAGACTAATGTGCCTCCAGTAACTTTTTGGCTGAAAAGTTCCATGAACGTGGAAGTGGTATCTTTGAAAATATTAAGTAATGACCCCATTCTCCTTCAAGCAATGTCAGAGCTCAAAAGAACAGTGTGTGTAATGGAGTACATGAAATTAAGACTAAAACCAAGCAGCATGTTACAGAGGTTCTTTGGATGTTTTGACCCAAGGAAAGTTAAAGTTTTGATTTGTAAGAATGGACTGAAATTGTGATACATGTCAAAAACCCATTACTTCAGTTAAAATAATATTTGAAGTTGCACTGAGTGATCATTTGCAAGAACTGCGTAGAACATAGTTAATTATTATTATTATTATTATTATTATTATTTTAGAGTTTAGATCTTGCTTTCTCTACTTTTAAATACCACACATTAAAACAGCTGTGGATATTGCTGTTGAAAGTTTGCCCATACTGTAGTGTCTTTCCAAATCATCTTTCAATAAATTTTTTGACAAAATTTTTCTGTGGGGTAGATATATTAATGAAGTCTTGTTGATTTGATCTGGTTTGGAGTCTGAATTACATAGGTTTCATGAATATATCAATGGCATAAATCGTAATTTGAAATTGAGCCTGGAATACACAGGGTCAGAAATTAATTTCCTTAATATAAAAACTAAGGATTTTAATGGTGAGTTACACCCTTTGATTTTTAGGAAATTAATGGATCACAATCCCATTCTTAGAGCTAATACTTTTCATATCCACCTTGGCTGATTGAGAATATTCCATATGGCCAGTTCCAAAGTTTGAAACGTATTTGTGACCTAGAAGATGATTTCGAAATTCAAATACAAGATATGATTCGTAGAATTTTGACAGAGAGGTTATGATTCGAAAGTTCTAACAAGAGCTACAGAGAGATTTAAATCTATGGATAGGAAACAATAATTGAGTAAAAAAATAGAGTGCAACGTTTTAATACTATTAAAGCCCTCCCTGCTTACCGTGGCAATGAGATACATAGCAGACTGTCGTCACATAATGGCTGGATGTCTAAGTGGTGATCGCAGAATAACATAGGTTTCATAGATAATTGGATGAGTTTTTGGGGCAGACCTGACCTATTGAAAAGAGATGGTCTTCATCCCTCCTGGGGTCGTGCCGCTCTTCTCTCTAGAAATATGGCACATAGTCTTAGAGTTTGTACTTGACTAACTGGGGCCTAGGTCAGGAAGCAGACAGACTGGCTAAACCGACCGTCTGCTAGCCGCCTCATGTCACAGAAATCAGTTAATTCTCAGCACACAGAAACTCTTTCACCTAGATATCACACTATAGAGATTGTGTCTGTTTCCCGAACTAGAAAATACAAAAAACGTCCAAACCAATGTAAGAGTAACAATTTAATTGATGTTCAACAAATAAAAAACAGATGCAATACGGATAAATACATTTCTACGAAAGCACTTTTTGTAAATGATATGATCACTGATCATAAACTAGATGTGCTCTGTTTGACAGAAACCTGGCTAAAACCTGATGATTACATTATTTTAAATGAGTCTACCCCCCAAGATTACTGTTATAAACATGAGCCACGTCCAAAAAGGTAAAGGGGGAGGTGTTGCTTCAATTTATAACAATGTTTTCAGTATTTCTCAGAGGGCTTCAAGTATAACTCGTTTGAAGTAATGGTGCTGCATATAACATTGTCCAGAGAAACAAGTGCTAATGATAAATCCCCTGTGTCTTTTGTACTGGCTACTGTATACAGGCCACCAGGGCACCATACTTTATTAAAGAATGTGCTGATTTTATATCCGAGTTAGTGCTGGCTGCAGATAAAGTTTTAATTGTTGGTGATTTTAATATCCATGTTGATAATGAAAAAGATGCATTGGGATCAGCATTCATAGACATCCTGAACTCTATTGGGGTTAGACAACACGTCTCAGAACCTACTCATTGTCGAAATCATACTCTAGATTTAATATTGTCACATGGAATTGATGTTGATGGTGTTGAA